TTTTTTTTTCCTTTTTAAACAAGAGCTGGGGTAACGAAGGGTGAGCCAAGGAGGACGGGAAGGCCCTGCCCTAAATCTAAGTCTGGGGTGAGCATGTTGAGGTCACAGCTAAGCCTGTGGCCCCATCTTCCCTGGAGCCAGCAGCCAGCCTGTGGCCAAGTTCCTGCTCACCCTTCTCTCATCACAGCCCTTGTGCTGAGCAGGCCCTCAGCCCAGAGAGTCTCTTGATCTGTACTGATCCCTTGAATTCTTTAGGAATCGCGTTGGTGAATGCAGTTGCCAGGTGTCGCTGATGCTACAGAGCAGCCCTGCCCGAGTTACCCTGTGGTGAGTGCCCCCCAGGAGTTGCCCGACCAGGCCACATGCCACCATTCACCCACCTTCCTCCTGGCCCCTGCAGGCCCAACCCAACAGGCCCAGATTGTTCGTATCCTACAGCTGAGGCTGCCAGAGCCAAGAGGGAGCAATTGGAAGGGGAACGAGGGAGGGAGAGCAGGGGAGGAGAGGGGGTGAATTTTTTTTTTTGTATACACCCTTATAAGGCTACTGAAGTCATTACCGATGTAACAAACCAACTAAGCAAGCAAGCGCCTCTCACCAATGTTCCCTTCTATAAACACAGCCTGGCCAGCCCCCACTGCCCTTCCCCCTCCCCTCTACCCTCCCTCCCTCAGGGATGTGCTCTCCCTTGACGTTTCTTTCTTACCCAGCCCCTTTTTCTCCTGCTACTTTCCTTTTTCCCTTCACTGGTTTCAGGGGGAGGGAGCCTGCCAGCTGTGAGGGCCTCTGCGGCCGAGGAGTTGTTGCCGATGGTGGTGGTGGTGACTGCTATGGGACCCTGAGGCCCGGCTGGCCAGCAAGAGGGCAAGGTTGGCCAGAGGAGGAGGAAGGTGAAGGTGTGCGGGGGGTGCTGAAGAGGCGCGTAGAGACGCGGCAGCACACGGAGGAGGCCATCCGCCAGCAGGAGGTGGAGCAGCTGGACTTCCGTGACCTCCTGGGGAAGAAGGTGAGTACCAAGACCGTGTCGGAAGAAGACCTGAAAGAGATCCCAGCTGAGCAGATGGATTTCCGCGCCAACTTGCAACGGCAAGTGAAGCCAAAGACTGTGTCTGAGGAAGAAAGGAAGGTGCACAGCCCCCAGCAGGTTGATTTCCGCTCTGTCCTGGCCAAAAAGGGGACTCCCAAGACCCCAGTGCCTGAGAAGGTACCACCTCCAAAACCTGCCACCCCAGATTTTCGCTCAGTGCTGGGCAGCAAGAAAAAATTACCAACAGAGAACGGTAGCAACAATGCTGAGGCCTTGAATGCCAAGGCGGCAGAAAGTCTCAAGGCCGTGGGCAATACCCAGCCTTCAGGGTCCTTGAAACCTGTGGGCAATGCCAAGCCTGCCGAGACCCCAAAACCAGTGGGTAACACCAAGCCAGCCGAGACCCTGAAACCTGTGGGCAATGCCAAACCTGCCGAGATCTCAAAACTTGTGGGCAATGCCAAACCGGCCGAGTCCGTGAAACCTGTGGGCAATGCCAAGCCTGCCGAGAGCCAAAAACCTGTGGGCAACACCAAACCGGCCGAGATCCTGAAACCTGTGGGCAATGCCAAGCCTTCTGAGACCCCAAAACCTGTGGGCAACGCCAAACCAGCCGAGACCCCAAAACCTGTGGGCAATGCCAAGCCAGAAGAGACTCCAAAACCAGCTGAGAAAGAACTCAAGAAGGAGGTTAAGAATGATGTGAACTACAAGAGAGGGCTTTCAGGGGCCACAGATAATGAGAAAAAATCAGAAAGCCAAGGGACAGCCCCAACTTTCAAGGAGAAGCTACGAGATGTCCATGTGGCAGAGGGTGAGAAGCTGCTACTCCAGTGCCAGGTGTCCTCTGATCCCCCAGCCACCATCACCTGGACACTGAATGGAAAAACACTCAAGACTACCAAATTCATCATCCTCTCCCAAGAAGGTAATGAATAAGGGCAGGGGCTGGGGAGGAAGAGGCCTCTGTATGAGGGTCACTGTCAGCTCATGGAGCCTTGATCTTACTGATCGTTGCTCGCATCCCAGAGCTTCTGTGCCCCGCACCACTCAAGGCCCTTGGGCACACACTCCACTACTGGGAAATGAGAGCAGGAGTCTAGTCCTGTGGCACATGCCCAGGTCTCAGCATCTGGCTGGCAGAGCACTGTCATGGCACCCCCAGCAGTAGGCTCCTCAGAGCATATGGGGACCTGCGCTAATGCCCCACAACTCTGGCTTGGAGAGGCTGTTTACAAACTTGGAAATGGGGGCACCGGGCTGCAGCTAACTCTGAGCTATCAGCTCTGAGCTATCAGCTGCTTCTGCAGCAGCATTTTGGGTTTGGGGGAGGGTGTGCAGAGACGGGATGGCACAGGACTATGATTTGGGGTCAACAACAACTAAGTCTTGATAACATTGTGGTTTTGAAGGGACCTGTGTGAGAACCCAAAACCCCAAACAGCCCCTACTTCACACGCACTCACCGGCAGACAGCAGCTCTCTTCCTAATTTGGATGAGACTTTTGTTTGCTGCTATTTCACATTCTTGGGTGGTGGGGAGAAGAGGGGGGGCTCTAAATCCTGCCATCTGGAGCCTTTTGGGGTCTGAAGTTCTTAGATGGGCCAGTTTATACCTAGAGAAGCAATGGGGGTAAAAGGGATATTCTCCCTGGACCTTCAATTTGGTTTGAAATTATTTTGTAAACCCCGAGCCTGGATGGGAGCTCCAAGACCAGCAGGCTTTTCACATCCCATTCTGGTGGCCAGTGCTAGAATAGTCTGGCCTGAGCTTCAGGCTGGTGCTGGTGGCTCTGGGCAGGCCAGAGTACAAAGCTCCCCTGGAAGTGGCATTTTACCTTGAGAGGTAGAGAGCAGCCACAGCCGAGGCCTGAGAGTACAGGTCCTGTCAAATCCACATCAGCTGAAATGTCAGCAACGTCCCCAGCACTGTGCTGCTCTCCTTCCTGTCCTCTGACTATACCCCTCTTCACTGCCTCCCTTACCCTTCATAGCAGTAGCCCCCTCAGCTCATGGTAAAGCTCCTCTCTTCACACTGCATCTTAGCAAATCTGGAACTGCTATGCGTTTTAAATCTCGATGCTAAAGGAGTAAAGAGGAAATTGGCCAGGAGAGAGAGAAAACTTTTTATTTTCTGCTAATGTGTTGACAGAGCAACTTTTCACATGGATATTCCTAGATTCTCAGGGTCTTCCAGAAGTCATCTCATCCACCTGCCAGCTTCTGCTAGTTCAGCCCGCCCGTGGCCCACACACAGTTGGGCGTGGGGATTACCATGGTGGGGTGAGATGTCCAGGGGAGTGGATGCCTTCCTTGCCGCCCCTGTGGGCCCCTCCCACTTGGGAAGTCTGACCCAAAACCTTGAGCAGGAGCATTTCCCATCCAGGTGATCACAGATCACCTTGAGATGATCTCTCAGGGCAGGACGAAGGGTGGGACATATGTAGTCACATAGGCCTGTGTAATGAGAGGTCTTTGGCAGCACCAGCCTCAGGGAGACTGATATTCAGATAGCTGAAGGCAATGCCCAGAGCTGTGCAGTTGCTCTAGGACCTGCATGGAACCAGCAGAGCCACCAACAGCCGCTTATTAACAATCCACTCGACTAAGCAATGTAAGCAGACCTCTGCCCTGGTCTCAAAAACACACTTGAGCCATTAGACACTGGCTGCTCCTGCCCAGAGTGCTTGAATCCGTTGTATCTGCTGGTCGCTAAGTGTTAAAGGGCATAGAGATCTGGCTACTTGGGCATCACCTTCCCCAGAAACCATCTCAAAAGGACAGTTTTGGTCCAAAGCAGAGGAAGAAGAAATGATTAAAAGAAGGCCAGCACAAGGAGAGGATAGAGATTGGAAGGGAGGTGGGAGGGGATTATGGAGACAGCCCCAAATCCAACTTTAAAAAATATTCTAAACATTTATAATTCTCCCTTGAAAAATAAGAATAGCTGGTATTTATTGAACTCTATGTGCCAGACACTGTCCCAGGCATCTTAACTCTTTTTACTCATTCAATCCTTGCAACTGCTATACTGCCCATCTAACTGAGAAGTTAAGTATTTTGGCCAAGGTTGCACAGCTAGTTAATAACAGAGATGGAATTTGAATGCAAGTGGTTGAATTCCAACGCCTAGATCACTATGCTATGTTACCTTTAAGTTAATTCTTGTTAGCACGTCAGCATACTGGTACAGTTGAGAAAACCTCTCATGATTGATCAGCTCACCAAGAGCGTTGTCTATCAAGGGAAAATGCTAATGGCTACTCCTCAGCACTGTCAACAGTTGTCAAGAGGCTGGAAGACTGACATGGTGCCCACTGGGCTTGCCCAGTGTCTAGTATTTTCACTGCAGTGGAGGAGCAGACCATAAAACAGGCCTGTCCATCTTGCCACGGTAGGGAGAGTATGTAGTCTCAAAATACCAGCCCCACTTTCTGTCCACCATCCTTTCTTCAGAGCTTCAGTCTCCCAAGTTTTCAAAATCGTAGATTAAACAGACCCAGGAGAAAGCCTGTCCTAAAGCATTATTGGTGACCACTTCAATCAGGCCCTATTGCAGGAAGTCAGGCCCTTGCAGAGGTATGAGTGGATCTACTCTCAGTGGAGAGAGGACACACACTCACAGTGATTAAACTATTCCAGTCAGGTGCTGATGATGAGCTGCTGGAAGCAGCAGGAGAGAGAGCTGAGTGCTGGGGCCTCAGGGAAAGCTGGTGGTGAAAGAACTGGGCCTTGATTGGAACCTCGAAGGCAGGCCAGGGCTCCCAGCAGGGAAGAGGGCAGCTATGGGCTTCCCAGGCAGGGGCATAACAGCAGCAGAGGCAGGCCTGCTCACCGAACAGTCTGGGCTGTAGAGGAAGGCATGGCCTCGTTCCACCCTATATCATGCTGAGAAACTATTACAAAGGCAATAGGGAGCCACGTAAGAGTTTGGAACAAGGAACAATGTATACAAAGCTGCGATTTAGGGGTTTTGATTGACTCCATGCTCAAAGACAAGTAAAGAGCCCACTGAAGAGGTTTAGGAGAAAGGCGGTGAGGCCTGGGCTAACTAGCACAGACAGGAAATAACCAGTTCAAGGAGCAAGGACAGAATTAACAGAACCTGTTGTCTGGCTTGGAAGGGTAGGGATAGAAGGGTAAAGAAGAGGAAGGAGTGGAAGACCACTGGATGTCAGTGTCTGAATGACTGGGGTCACAGTGAAGGCATGAGTGAAAATAAGGAAGCTGTGGTTTGAGGTGGTTTGTAGGGGAAGATAGAGGGGCCACTGCTGGTTTCCTGGCCCGTCACACCCCACGGCATCCTCTCTGCCTCCACCTCCCTGACTTGGAGCCCTTCTTGCTCCACCGCACTGAACCATGTGCTATCTCCTCTTCTAAGATCAAGATTCACTTCCTCCAGGATGCCTTCCAGACTATTGTCACTGGCTTTTGGCCACAAGAGACTCCTGAGTTCTCCCCCAACATGGACATGTATGTCTCTGTACTGACTGCTAGTTAGACATTCTGTTTATAGGTTTCAGGAGGGCTTCTCTGAACCTGTAGCTTGGATAGGGCTTGTAGCCTGCAAGCCCCCAGAAATAGGATTATGTCTACCCTGTTTTGTGCTGGGGAGAGCAAAAGAGGTATGATGGCAGCCCCGTCAGTTGGAGTGTCCATTAATTCTTGGAAAGAAGAGGTGTTCTTCCTCTTTCTGCATCCCCCAGAGCTGCAGGGTGCATGGTGTTCACTTTCAATGCTAGGCCTGCAGGGTGGTCGCACCGGGCCCTTTCTGGACCTGCAGCAGTGCTCCCCAGGCCTCTGCCTGGGAGTGGGGTCCAGTCAGCCAACAGGATTCTGTGCTGCCCCTGAGAGGGGCTTTCATCTTTATACCTTGTTTCCTGTCCCCAGGCCAGGCTTCTCTCCTGGCAAACACCTCTCCCAATCTAATGACAAGGATTCATTTCTGTTGTTATCATCAACCGACGATTCATTTTTAATTGCTTTCAGTGTGGGATCTTGCAGAAGCTTTTTCAAAACCTGTATTAGTTCATCCTACAAAACCTGTATTAGTTCGTCCTACAAAACACAAAGGATTTATGTAGCACCTACTATGTGCCAGGTGCTATTCTAGCCCCTTTCATTGTAGGCACAATCCACTCAATGAACTCTGAGTTAGGAGGGTGTTTCCCTTTTAGAAACTACAGGCATACCTTGGAGATGTGGTGGGTTTGTTTCTAAACCACTGCAATAAAGCGGGTATCGCAAAAAAAGTGAGTTGTAATCTTTCTGCCAGTGAAGGAAGGGTCTTGCCTTCAAGTTGTAAAAAACACAACATCTGTGAAGCACAGCTAAGCAAAATGCAATGAAACGAGATATGCCTGTGCGTCATCTTTTTCAAGGTAGGTTATATTTGATTAAGTGTTCCTGACTTTCTTTTGCATGGATCTCACGAGGTCACCTGCTACATAAATGCCCGTTTGTCATTCTTAGAATATCAGATTTTTTTTTATTGTGACTGCATTCCAGGTGCAGGAAAAACATTCGTAGTAGATATGGTCACTGCCCTCCAGGACATAGGTTTTGCAATGGCCTTAAGAGACATGTTTTGATTAAGATGAACTAAGGACTTTGAAGAGGTCTATCTATGGCTGGGGGTGCTTAAGAGTGACATGGAAGGCACCATCCCTGAGGAGGTGACCTGGAGTTGTCCCACTGTCCAGACACCAGACACACCAGGGGAACCAGGTCAGGAGACCCTGCTGACTTGAGGACAGCCTCAAGACACAGCCTCCAGGCCCTCAGACCACTCCCTCCCACTATGCACACCCCACTACCCACCCTCTCCACACACTGAGAAAAGGAGTGAGATGGGGGAATCTTCAGACTCCATTGATGAGGGGCTCTCCCAGGGACGGTTCTGGCTGAGCCATCCATTGGATTCCTGGTTCTGTGGTGACTGCTCCCATCCCCCTCACCTCCCTCTCAAAATTCCCCACCAGATTGAGGCTTCTCAAAAAAAAAAAAAAAAAAACGCTGGGAAACGGTTTTTCTTCTGGAGGTCAGGAATAAGCTGTCCCACAGGAAATACCAGATTCTTCAATCTGGCCTAGCTGAGGATCCAAGCCTGCCTGGGGGCCCTCCCCCATCCCAAGCACATGGCCAGGGGTCCAGGCTTTGAGCGGTTTGCAAAAACTCCCTGCTCTGATGCTTTCCCTGGTGAGGGAGCTAGTGCTGTGGTCTAAATGCTTCACTTGTTCTGGTGGTCTTACTATTGTCTTTGCAGTTTGCGCAGTTTTGGTCTAAGGCTGAAGGCAGCTGGAGGACTGAAACTGAAAGGCAATCAAGCATTCGAATGGAATGTGCATTGGGAGTGGGGTGTCTACTCCCAGAACCTTAGCCTCAAACTGAGGGGAAATTGCAAGATGGGGTCTGTTTCCTCTAAACTTTGAATTTTGGGTCCAGAGGTCATCTCAGATGAATGGAAGTTTCTCTCTCTAGATGACAGTTATCTTCATTCTTCCATTTCTGTGCTCCATGGTTCCTATTTTCACGACAGACTTTCTAAAAATCCAGCCTAAATCCTTTCTGTTGCAGTTTCTGCAAATTCTGTGAGAGATCCGACCCATCGCTCGCTCCCCCGCCCC